AGTGGAAGCTCAGGGCCCTTTCTTAACCAGGTTTTATATTCTCAGTCCTTTACTAATCACATGCTCTCCTGTTTCTGATTCATACTGGTTTTCTACAGCTAGTGTGGCATCAACCCCACAACCCACCCACACCTCACACACCCTGGAAGCAGGGTCAGGGTTTAAGCAGCTCTGCAAACATGGGGAAGAGCCAGAGAAGAGCAGAGGTTGTGGCTAGTCATTGGCCCGGCACACTGCTGTGCCCCACAGGCAGACCTTCCCCAGTCAGATGACAAGAGGATTAGGGCAAAAGGCTCACAGGGTGGTGGCTGCATGGTACAGGTCTCTCCTTTGCTCTAACAAGGACACAGGCAGAGGTGAGGCAGGTTGTTTGTGGCCCTGGGAACAGAGTTTATCTTAGTCCAAAGATTCTACAAGCACGTGCACAGAGGAGAGTGGAAGGAAATACTACAGCTCAGCCAGAGCCTCAGAGAGCCAGGCAGGTGGGCAGGGAGGGAGGAGATGCCTGCCAGGTCACAGACAGGAATAGGTGAGGCCCACTGCTCCAGCCCTAGTCACCAAGGAAGCTGTGTGTTTCTGCTTCTGGAACCATCCCTCTAGACTGTGGCTCTCAGGGCTTATATGATGAGCTCAAAGTCTGTGGATTGCATGCCTACCTGGACTAGCAGATTTTTAACCATGCAAGAAAATGTGCATCACTAACATGTCCTAAGGGAAAAAAAAAAAAACATCATGGGACTTCCATCACATGAGAACTCATCTCTGAATCTACAGCAAAAGCCAGGACCAGACATGTTTCCCTAACTTTTGTTTTTTGGCTCATAATCCCTTTCATAGTCATATATAACCCTACAAACCACCTTTGATTATTGTAACATTTAACAATATTCTTTAGACTGAAAGACAAGTTTTGACTATAAATGAACTATTTTCATTTGGTGAGTAAAAATCTTATGTGTGAGTGGCTAATGGCAAAATGATAAATTATTTCATTTTCTGTGTAGAAACCAACACAGGGTAAATACAAAAATTTAGCTCTGTATTACAGGTAAAAACAGAACTTGTGAACTGAATTTGTGACTTTTGTCTTTTGCTTAGCTTTAAAGATTAACTGGCTTTAATGTTAAATAATAAAGTGAGAAATGACTTTTCTGTCTGATGCTTGCAAGCCCTTCAGCATGAATACCTCAGTGTTGTGTGAAGACAGTTCCTGTTCCCACAGACAGAAATAACAAAGAGATTTCAGGCAAAAACACCAGCATATAGCTAGTTTCCTTACTTGTTTTGAGTTCTATGACACCCTGACCAAGAAAGGGAACATTTTTATTCAGATAATGAAACTTACTTGCCTTAAGAGGAGAATAGGGAAAGCAGTGTGCGAAATGAGGACTGTATTTTATCTCCTACCTCACATTTCAACATCTGTTTCCACTGGCTTCTTGATTTTGACCAGTGGTTGACTATGGACCTAAATTGGATAACATGACTGCAAATAAAAAGCTTATCAATGTGTATCATGGTCAAAACTTTCAGAAGGGTTTGCAATTAACCCCAAAGAGGTCAAGGACACCCTCTCATTTTTCCAAACCCTCCCCTGACTGCCATGGATCATCCGACATGAACAAATTCTGGCAGAGGACAAATACATCTGGCTTGCTTACACTTGAATCATTGTTCAAGGAGACAAAGTCTTTCACTGGATAACCAACAGATAATGAGTGCAGATATTCCTGGCAGAGATAACACATGTACATTCATTCAATAACCTATGTCAGATTCTACCCTGAAAGTGGAGTTGTGTTGAATATTTCTAGAGGAAACAGGTCTAACTTTAAAAAAACAAAACATCAGATTTGGCAATCTGTATGTTTGTTCCCAGCACGGGGTACTCAAATCTTGTTAATTAGTTTCATTAAATTTTCTTATTTTAATAGACACAGCGGGAGTTCCTTAGCTAAGGCATCCGTGGACAGATTTGTTATTTGTCCCCAACAGCCAAATCCTATCCATCCTTTCCAGTCCAAGAGGCCCTATTACTGCCCAGGACCAGTACAGCACTGGTCAGACTGACTGTCTCCACTGGGCTGTGGGTGACGTTAGTACATTGGTTCACAGTCTTTGGTGCACTAATTTAGCACCAGAAGAACTTCTTACAAATGTGAATTGCCTAGAAGACTGTGAGTTCTGGATGTTTAAAAAAGTACCTTGGAGAAAGTGAGCATACTTTTAGAACCACTAGAAAGCCTGTTGTGGAACAGCTCTGAATTATTGGCCAGGTCTACTTCATTAACCTCAACCTACTTTCTGTACACTTAAATCCAGGTATTTAAAGGACTAGAATAGACATTTCTCCAAAGAAAACATACAAGTGGCCAGAAAGGGTACCAAGGAATAACACAAAGACTCAAAGTAGGCATAAAATGATAGATTTATTTGATTCCTCTGGTTTAACATACTCTAGAAGGCAGGGATGCAGTCTATCACAGAGACTCTAGTCTCTATGTTTAAGTATGGCCAGGCTAAGAATGTTTGTCACAATTTTTAAATGAGCAAAAAAGAAGAGAAGAATAACACTTCATAGCACATGAAATTTCAATAAATACAAACTCCTGTGCCCATCAATAAAACTACATTGGATCCCAGCCCCAGCTCATTAGTATTGGTCTGTGACTGCTTTCTCCATGCCATGGCAGAGTTGAGTCACCACAAAGATAGATGGCACTCAAAGCTGGAAACATGCTACTTACCCTTTGCAGAAAATGCTTGCTGACTACGGAATTGTAGTACAAAATCTGAAAAAGTTTTATAAGGCATACAGGTCATTGCAGGATGTGGACTGTCTACCTTCATGGTCTGCCTATCAGTACCCCACTTCCTTCCCCACTTTTCTCACTTATTTTTTCACCTATCACCTCCAAAGTTTTCTTTCTTTTTATTATTGTTGTGCTAGGGGTACATTGTGACATTTACCAAAGTTCTTACAATATGTCATTCTCCTTTATCCTCCCCTCCCCCCATCCCTGGAACAGTTTCAATAGGTCTCATTTTCCCATTTTCATACATGAGTACACCTCTTTCTGGGAAACACATGGACTAGGGTTGGGAGCTGGCAGGCTCCTCTCTAGAGAGCCAGATCACATCTGTTGCCATAGGGAAGACACTCTCACCAAGAGACAACAGCTCAGGCCTACAGTATAATTGCTCTAACCCCACTATTTAAATAAAATTTAAATACTTAAAAACAAAGGTGAGCTGCTACAAATGGTAAATAGGCAAATAAACTGAAGTTTTGTTAGGTAGTGGACAGTGAACTAAAAAAGATCTAAGAGGGAAAAAGAAATGTTCACCCAAGAAGGATTTCACACTGATTTTACCAACATTGATTGTAACTGTTAATTGACTTCAGAAAAACTGAAACTGAAAACCACAGACAATGCACTGTGACATGGCTCTTAGTCAAAGACTGGCAAATAAATGCAAGTCCATTTTAAATTAACTCTTTTAACCAACAGAATCACCATCAGTCCAATCAGGGTAGACAGAGGGTTCCCCATGCTCTAACCCTGCAGGCCCTAGGCATGCATGGCCCACTCATATTAGGACTTCTTACAATAGGCTAGGTTTTACCACCTCTCACAGAGGACTGAACTGAGCTGGGGTGCAAGTGGGCAAGGTCTCACATCTCAGAGGAGGCATGTTTAGCTCCAGGCAGTCCAGTCCCAAGACAGCATCAACTCTATTACGCTCTTAGTCAAAGACTGGCAAATAAATGCTGGCAAATAAATGCAAGTCCATTTTAAATTAACTCTTTTTAACCAAAGAATCACCATCAGTCCAATCAGGGTAGACAGAGGGTTCCCCATGCTCTAACCCTGCAGGCCCTAGGCATGCATGGCCCACTCATATTAGGACTTCTACAATAGGCTAGGTTTTACCACCTCTCACAGAGGACTGAACTGAGCTGGGGTGCAAGTGGGCAAGGTCTCACATCTCAGAGGAGGCATGTTTAGCTCCAGGCAGTCCAGTCCCAAGACAGCATCAACTCTATTACTCGTGCTTCAAGCAGGCAAAAATTACAAAGTATTTTAAATTATAAGAATTGTAAATGTTTTTGTTGTTTAACCCTTTACCATGGATTATGCAATACTGGGGTTTGAACTTGAGAGGCAGGTGCGCTACCACTTGAGTCACGCCCCTATTTTTTTTTTTTTTTAGATAGGTCTCACATTTATGACCTGGCCACCCTGGACCACAATCCTCCTATTTACACTTCTGTGAAGCTGGGATGACAGGAGTGCACCAGCTTTTTACTGGTTGAGATGGGCCTCGCAAATGTTTTTGCCCAGGCTGGCCTTGAACCATGATCCTCCTGATCTCTGCCTTACAAGTAGCTTGGATTACAGATGTTAGCTACCATGCCTGTCTGAAAGAAAGGTATTTTAGTTTAGAAATTCAAAAAGGGAAATTTAGATTACTGAGAACACACACACTAAAAAAAGAAACTGAGATTGTCTATGTTCCATTTCAGATCCTAGAATATCAGTGAAATTATGCTCAGGTACTGAAAACATTCAAACAGGCAAAAGGCGACAATGAAACCTGCATGCACACATGCAATGCTTTGCAGGTGTTTTCATACCAAAATCTGTACTTAGGAATCTTTGCCTGTCTGAAGGAAGGAAGCCCAAGACAAGTCAGTGAGCTAGGGCAGGCAATTAACAATTCTACCACTGTCTATAGGAAAGAGGATGATTACACAAGGCCAGTCACCTCTCTCCACCTGTGGTACATGACATATACAATGATGATAACCACAAAGACAACATTCTCTTTTTTTGGAAAAAAAAAGTCAAATAATAAGCAGATGAAAATCTACCTGAAATACAAAGCTGTACACTTAAGTGTTTAATGTACGCTCTAGCTCGTTACAAAGGTATTTGGGGCAATACAGCAGGCACCACTATCTACAATTTCCCATTTGCCAAAACAGAAACCTGCACCTCCAATGGCATTCCTGAGAAATCTTGCAGACATCAGTCATGGGGGACCGGGGCTCGCTCACCTCCTGGCTCCACCTTCTGCTTTAAGACTGAGAATTGCTCCTCGATCAACTCCTGCCTGTCTGAGTGGCTGGGCAGCTACTCATTTATAGTGGCTAGATCTAGCTGGCATTTAAGATCAAGATTCTAAAACTGGATGACAAGCTTTGCCAGAGAGACAAGTTAATTTTACTTATTTTGAAAATAGTTAACTTGCCTAAATAATCCGGTAATCTAATACAGTTCCCAAAATACTCCAAACCCTTCAGAGGTCTTGAAATTCTATCACCTCATAAAGCCTATTTTTGGTATTATTGTAAGAGTGTCACTGAACCATCCTGGCTCATGCACCCAACAGTGCCTTCTCTGGTGATGGCAATCCAACTGAAACAACACAGCCTTATCCCCCAACCTGACCTCAGTTGTCTTCTCCCAATTTACCTGTAACCCTCTCATCTTATCATATAATGAATACCGTGGCCTCCTCCACAGTGACTCCTCACCTGCCTGAAAGTGGACACTGCTCCTCTTTTCCATGAAGGATCTCCACTGGCCAGCTATTCACTGGCCTGGTTTGCTTCCCTCCCCACTACAGTCTCCAACACACTAGAACTTCAAATGCCCACCCAACCCCACACTTCAACACCTGCCTCCCAGACAGAGCCTTCATCAGCCTCACCACACATCAGGCAAACAACACCACTCACTGACCCTTGCGTCCAAATCCAAGGAAGCCCAGGGCTGACTTATGGCACCATTTGCAAAAACCTCCTATGTGTCCCTTCCTGCCCATGGTCACTGCTGCAATTGGCCTGAGACCCACAAGCTCCTCTTCATCCCCATTGTCACAATAGTCTTCTTACTATATTTTGTTAGTCATTTGCTTTCAAGCAAATGACCCACACTGAGACCATTATCTGTGAAAGAAGGGTGGAAATACATCACACTGGATGGATGTCTGGTGGTGAGCGCAGGAGACAATTCTCCCAAATATATGGTGACTTTCCTCCAGAAGGCTCAACCTAAAAGGCTCCCCTGAAATACTGTCATTAAGCATGCCTTTTTGCATAGGGTCCACCCCATCATCATACTGGCACAGCAGAGGACTTTTATGAGCAATGACTTTCACAGAGGAATTTCAAGGTCAGGCATGCTCTGTTGCATACCATAGGCTTGTTCTTGAAAACCTAAGTCTCTGCACCTTTATTTGTTAACCAGTCATGTTTACAATGCAAGATGGAAGACCGATATTCTAACAAAATGATAGTAAAAAGAATTCTCTGATACCAATCATCTGGTTTGATTTTAAGGTCTGTGTTTTCATTACGAGGTTTTGTTTGGAATGGGAAACGATGAGGTTAACGAATTAAAAACACTGGCTGTGCCCTTGAACTCTTCACAGCCTAATCCCCAGCTTCTAGAAGGACCACACTATAAGAAGTGATGCAGACAGGTCTGAAGAGAAGCAGGGAGGGCTAGGGCAGGTGGAGGATGTGGATGGAACAGCTAAATAAATGCTTGTCTCACTCCACGCACTTAAGAGAACTGGAGGAGGCCAGATGAAGCAGAAGGGAGAGGGGCTGAGGGCTGCTGCAGAAAAGGTTAGGCAGTACCACTGGAGACTCCTTTCCTCCCTACACAGTGAACTCAGTGGGACATTACGAATATGCAAGGACAAATCTAAATCGGCATGCAACTTCTGAAGCATAAATCCCCTGGAACCGTCTATTTTATTTCCCTCTCTACCGGTAATGCTATGAATCTGAAGAGAGACCCCAGTGTCCAGGCTCAGAATTCCCTTTGTCTTACCTCATGGTAAATGCTGCCAGTGAAGACACCCCCATGCCACCTCCAGCAGCCCAACTCCACAGCAGTCATCCCCACCATGACAGCACTAAGAGAAGAGACCCCTATGGAAGATTGCAATTAATCAATGGCTAAAAGGTCTACCTGAGAATACTCTGAATTAAAATGCTTGTTTATATGTGTTATTTTTGGAAATATGTAAAAGATCTTATCTCTTAAAGAAAATCAGTTATCTCAATCAGGTCTAACTAAAATGCAGGCATTTAGGAATCAACTGTCAAGACTCTGGAGCAAGGGAAAAAAGTTGGCTATTTTAAAACTCAAAGTGGCTGTTTTGGCTGCCTAATTGGAGGCTTGTTAATGGTTATGGATATTTATTTTACTTTATTTAAAAAATGTTTGCCTATGTTCAAATTTTTATAAAAATTTTAAAAATACAATTTAAAAAATCTGCAAATAAGCCTGAATATAAATATAAGTAAAACTGAACTGTTTCAATATTTTATCCATGATTAGTGTAAGTCTTTTGTCATATTTTTGATCCCTTTGGAACATTTCCAGCCAAACTCAGGGAAAATTACTCTAGCAAGTACTTAATCTATCAAACAAGTTAGATTTTAAACACTTGCTTCTGTTGGGTTTTGTTTTGCATTTTTCTTGTAAAATGTCGTGACTGCTGACTATTGTCATTCTACAGAAGTAAAACTTTTAATAATAACAACTTGAGAAATACTCTTTTTGAGATACTAGGATGTCACCTATAAAACAGACAAAATTAAACTGAATGGATGATAGGTAAGCCCAGCCTAAGAGCCACTTCCTCTACACCTCTTTATTGCTTAAATTTGGCCAAAAAGGGTGTTAATAGCACTGAATCCCACCTGACCTGCCTGTCACTCCCCTCCAATGTGGGATCAGACCAGTCCAACTGGGATGGTCAATGCATGTGAAGCATTGACTCCAGCCACACATGCATGGAGGCTGAGGAGGCAGTGGGCCTGGATGTGGGTTGGCCACACACACAGGACTGAGCAAATATGTAACTACATGGAAGGACTGGGAGCCAGGTCTGTGGATGCTAGGGAATGAGTTATAAATACAGAGCTTGGAAAGAGTGGCATGTGCAGAGTTGAACTGGGAGGCATGAGAGTGAGCTCATGAATATGTTCGCCCTCTCTGAGAAAAGAATGTGTATCTGTGCATCTGTATGCTTGTGGGCATGCACATGAAGAGATGTGTGTTACTGTAAAGAGGGGAAGAGAAGACAGCGCAAACATCCATGTTACCAGGGGAACCTGGAGGAAGAATATCTGGGGACTCTTTAATTGTGTAACTTTTCTGCAAATTTGACATTAAAAGTTAAAAATATATTAGTAAAAATAAAATGGACATGAGACTGCTTGTTGATCCCCCAAACATAACGGGGTAATTTCCACCTGACAATTCAGCCTCCATACATGTGAGCCATATCCCAGGCCACACCCCCTCACCATTTCTGTAGCTCCCCACCCTTCCCTCTTGGCCTCCTAGCACTGTCTGTGTCTCTGGCTTACTTAATTGTCTGCCTGTGTATCTTAGTTATTTAGAATGCATGAGTTAAAGCACCTAAGAAGAATCTTAGAAACTTGATATGAAATAATTTATTTTTCCCAAATTGGAGTTATGGTCACACATTTAAATTTTAAATGCATAATAAGTGCAAAGTGTTTTTTAATTTTTCTCCCTAGATAAAATAATAATTGTTTTCATTATTATATGTAACCTTTTATTCCTATGTGTCAGTCACACTTAATTTAAAACACCAAGATCCCTGGCCCTAACTAATCTATCTCCATCATCTATTTTTGTGTAATTACTGACAAGCAGGATGGAGGGAGGCAGCAAAGGACAATTGGGAGGGATGTAAGGGTGAAGCAGTCATTCCTTCTCCATTGCAATGTCTGAACTGTCAGACATGTGTCAGGGAAGCACAGCCCCTTAAAGAGCTGCTGCAGGAATTCCTCTCCATAAGCACTAAAAAGACAGAAGCACAGAGCCTGTGAGGAGAGAACACAGGCTATCCCACTGGCAGCCCAGGCTCTCAGAGTACTTTCTGAACTCCCTGCAACATTGCAAAGCTGCCTCTGAGGAACACAGGAAGTGAGGGAGATGTATTTGTGGACATCACAGGGCAGATCAGTTTCGTGGTGTTTACTCATCTCTTCTCCATGCTGCATGAGATGTGACAGAAAGACACACTAGCTCAGAAGCTGGTCCCTGGAGACCCTCAACTACAATCATAACTGCACTAAAAACACAGTGCCCGACCCAGAGTGCCAGCGCCACAAATACCAGACATAAATACCCATGTCAAGTGACAAATAAATTTAGAAGTTCTGCAGTCAGACTCACACACACACGCACAGTAAAGGGAGTAAATCTGATCCAGAGATTAGCTGAATTGAGGAACAGGCCCAGGGGAGACAAAGCAGGGCATGCACAGGAAGAGCCGGGGCTGGCAAGGAGAGAGCAGCCCATGTACGGTCACTCCCATCAGCCTCTTCCACCCACACCAGAGACAACTGAGCTATATTTAGACAGGTCCCTGACGCCAGCCTCCTAAGCTATGGATTGCAAACCAGGCTCTTCCATGCTTCGTTTTTACAAAACCAAGAACTACAAATGAAAACTCTAACAATGTGAATACGACAGTTATAATGAAGAGAACAAGAGAAGAATCTCTCAACATGCACAATCTGTTCTTCTAGAGGATTTTGATCTGGAGATAACTGGCAATTGCAGAAACAACACAACTACTGACCATGCTAAGCATACAGACCTTCCTGGGCTGCACTTTGACTGATCTCAGCACCCACGCAGCATGCATCGGCAGGTGGCTGCTGGAAGTGCTTTCCTTGGAGACACTCGGGGTCCTGTAAGGAATGTCAGCTGTTGTCATTCTCGTATTACCACCAGACCTCACCCTGTGTGCCAGCCCAGTACTGAGGTGAATAAACTACGGCTTAGCTTTTTAAAAACCCAATGATTCACTGAGATGCCATACGACAAATTTATGTGAAAGGCTTTAAATTCATCCTGAAGTTTCAACGTCTTTAACATTATCTACTAAAGCCTGATCATTCTAATATGGGTCATAGCCCAGAAAACATATGGGAGACACTAATTAAGAGCCATGTCCTAGCTACTAATGAATGGGCATTATAGCCTGTACTTCCAAAATACTAGACTTTCATTGATTTTATTTCCACTGGGTTTTTAAATAAATCACCTAAAAATTTCAACTATTATTTACTAGGCTCTCTAATTATTTTACTATGTGATGTTTGGCACATGCGGTACTTTTAAATAAACTACTGACATACACAAGGAGTGGGAATCTCAAAGGTGGTGTGCTAAATGAGTCAGGATACACTCAAAGGGACTTGTGCTGCAAGGTTT